TTGAAGTTTCAAAGTAGAAAGATGCTTCAAGTTTAATCTTTTGAACTCACCAAACAATACACACTGTACAAAGTACAAAATGAATATATTTCGTGGAGCTTGCAAGCAAATAGTATTCAAATACAGTTTTCACTTTGAAACAACTATCTAAATAAAATAATAATAAAAAAAACTTTATTTTTATTATTTTTTTGTGACATTATAGGAGGTTTCATCAAAAGCTTTTATATTTAGGAAAATTCCCTTAAATTATGACTCATTTTCACTTTATCTACTAAACTTCAAAACTCAGCAATTAAACCACTCAAAATATTATCTTATTACAATTAATCCTTTTTGTTATAATTTTATCAAAAAAAATCAGATCTGGGAACATTGCCGTGCAGCCCGCGCAGCAGCGTCTACTCTGCGCGATTTGGGCCTATTTCGGGGCCTATTTTGATAATCCAAACCGTTCACATTTTAGAATACATCAAGTACAACATGCCTGCAAAAAATCAAGTTAATCAGATATCGTTTACCTATTCATCCACTCACATTTGTATTCATTTTAATCAAGTTAAAATACATTTGTGTTTATTTTTGTAGATACAAATGTGAGTCGATGAATGGGTAAAGGATATCCGATTAACTTGATTTTTTGCATGCATGCTCGATTTGGCATATTCTAAAATGTGAACGGTTCGGATTATCAAAATAGGCCCCAAAATGGGCCCAAATCACTGCACGGCAGACGCTGCTGCGCGGGCTGCGCAGCAACGTCCCCACTTCCTGGGTAAAGCACATGACACATTTATTGAATTTTTAGGTCAACAATACCCATTATTAATTATTTTAGGATAATAATACGTATATCTGGTGATTTTATGTGTACTTTTTCTCTCTTATTTTAGTAGCAAACTGCAAACATGATCACCAAATAAGGGCATTATTGCCTTCAAAATTTAATAAATGTGTTATGTATGTTATACATGATCTGATTTTCCATAATTCTAAACAAAATACTAACAAAAAGGGTTAACTGTCATAAGATAATATTTTGAGAGGTTAGCTGTTGAGTCTTGAAATTTAAGGGGCAAAATATAAATGAGTCATAATTTGAGAGAATTTACTGCAATTTATCCTTATATTTAAAGTCTTGTGGTGGTAAAGTTATGTTTTTGTTTTTTGTTTTCTTTTTGTGTTTTTTCTTCTTAAATTAGAATGTACTCTTTTAAGATTTTAATCTATATAAATATTTTGTCTCATTTTTATTAATCATTCGTTAGTATTGTTAAAAAATATTTTTGTCATACTTTTTACACTAAAAATATGATCAATTTGGCCTTAGTAAAACAAAAGATTAATATAATTATATTAAATTGTATTTTTTTAATTTCATTTGTGATCAACGTAATTTATTTATTTTTAAATCAAGATTGTAGGTTTCAAAGATGAATTGGCAAAGGAATTTCATATATGGACTCGCCATTTTAAATAGATTGGGTATCATTTTGCATGATTATTGTAAGTTATGCATAGAAAAAAAAAAATAGCAAATTATACTCGTTTTCCTTGAGTTTAAGGAAAATAGTTAATTTTAGAAGTTTGACATAATTACATTAACTTTTTTTTTTACTAAAATTAAAACGAGTAAAATTAAAATAAATAATGAGTAGAAATTGGAATAAACAAAGGTTTGGGGCTATTTTAGCCACAACAAACAAAACATCACATCCAATCCTTAATCATTACACTATTCTCTCACAAAAAAAGTCAAAAAGTCCTTCACAAACCAAGCTTTTTAGCCCAGGCAAAAAAGTCAAAAAGTCAAAAAGTCCTTCCCAAACCAAGCTTTTTAGCCCAGGCTAAAAAAGTTAAAAAAAATTAAAAAGTCAAAAAATCAATCCACTTCTCAAACGGAGGCATAATAAATTATACTTGTTTTCTTTGAGTTTAAGAAAATATAGTTAATTTTAAAAGTTTGACATAATTACATTAACTTTTTTTTTTCCTAAGATTAAAACGTGTAAAATTAAAATAAATAATGAGTAGAAATTGGAATAAACAAAGGTAAATATATATTTTAATAAAAAATATATAACAATATTATTTTTTTCATTTATACATCTCACGAAATCACTACAAGACACTACAACAAAACTAACTATTTACGGCATTGTGTTTATGACATGCATTAAATGCATGTCGTAGTTAGTACATTCTACGATTTTTTTTTTTTTTACAAGTCATTAATGTTTTGTCAATAACAGAATACATACCATATAAGTCGTTGATTCATATATTTATAATATGTAAAAGTATACCATAAAAAATGTATGTTTTTACGACTTACAAAAATATGTCGTAAAATATTTGCACTTATGACAACATACATTTCATATTGTAAAATATACAACTTTACACGGCATGCATTAACATGTCGTGAAAACTTCTGAAAAAATAAATAAAAATAAATTCAATCCGAATTTTTTTATGGCATGCAAAAGCATGCCGAAAAAAATGTATGTTTTCACTGCATACAAAAATATGTCATAAAATATTTGTACTTAAGACAACATACATTTCATGTTGTAAAATATTATAACTTTACACGGCATGTATTAGCATGTCATAAAAACTTTTTTAAAAAAAAATTTCAATCTGATTTTTTTTTATTTAAAAAAGATAACAATTTCCAACCAAGCTTCTTACTTTAAATTTTTGTAATTGAGGACAACGTAAAAAATAATTTATATATTATTTTATAATTTAGTGTTTCTTTTAAGGGATAATTGCACCCAGTTGGATTTTGGGGAAAAAAATTACATATTGATTGAAAAGTTTATAATTTTAGTGATTGATATTTATATAACTACTCACTAATTTGTAATTATTTTTTTTTAAATTACTTTGATTTGATATTTTCCCTTCTTTTAACAATTTATTTATTTTTTACTTTTTAAATGTGCCTAATATGAGTACAACTAAAAAATAGAATATTTGTAAAAAAATTTAATAAAATATAATATATATAAAATGTATTAAATTTTATATTTTTTGAATTTACTGATTTTTTTAAAAAATTTAAAAATATTTTTCTTTTTAATATATGTAAATTATTTGAATTTAAAAAGTAAAAAAAATTATTTGAAATATTTAAAAACTTACAATTGGTGGTGTTTGAGAAGTTTGTGTGTTGGCTTTTTTTTTTTGATTTTTTTCACTAAGGGTAATGATTGGTGGCCATAAATTATGTGACTCAAATGGCTTGAAAATGTCAAAACGATGTCATTTTGAGTACAAAACAACTCCGAAAAATGCCAAAACGACGTCGTTTTGACATTTTCAAGCCATTTGAGCCACAGAATTTGTAGCCACCAAACATTTTTCTTCGACTAAAAGGCAAACTTTTTGCAAAACTAAGAAAAATAAATCCAAATAAAATATCACATTCAACTCCATAATTATTTTATTTTTTCTCTCACAAACATCAAATTTAACCACAAAAAAAAGCCAACTATCTTTTCAAACACCAAAAAAAATTTCTTCAATAATATCTTACAACTAAAAAAACCACATAAAAACTCACTTCCCAAATACCCACAATATCTAAAACAGAAAACTAAAAAGCAATGGCCTTGTTTGGTTTGTATTTGAGAAACATGTTTTGAAATAAAAAGTACCAAAATTTGTTTGGTTTGGTTTTTTTCGAAAGATGTTTCGAAAAATTATTTTGAAAGAGAGTTTTAGAAAAAATGATTGATTTGATGTGTATGAAAGAGAGATTTGTTTGAAAAATTTGTAAACCAAATAAGTTTTGAAAAATTTGTTTGGAAAAATTTGTTTGGTTTGATTATTTTTAAAAACTTATTTATAGAGAATTTTTTCCAAACTTTTTGGCTCTCTCACTCGTTACTCTCTCACTCGCTCTCTGGCTCTCGACCTCTATATCTCAACCCTCTCTAAACCCTAATCTCTCTCAATCGATCGAATCAACCTTCTTCAGCCCCGTTTGATCTAATCACAGAGCGATTGGTGATTCATCTCCGATCCAATCTCAGAGCGATTGGCAATTTCGATTTTGAGATTTTAAAGCTCCACCGCCTCCACCATCTGCACCGGCGAGGGGAGCGAGCACCATCATCTACTAAGGTGAGCACCACCGTTTCTTTCTCTCTCTCTCTCAGTTTCATATTCTCTTTCTCTCTCTCTCAAACTCTTCCTTCCCGTCGAGTTTGGTCAGATAATGAAACCAGTGCATTTTATTTAAGAATTTCGTTGTTTGAGCAATTTGTTGTATAATAATTTGTTGATGGAATCTCGATTAAATTTCACTCCAGTTTTCCTATTTCATGTTCATGCTTCTTGTGCACACTGCACATGCCTTTTCCTTAACAAAATTTCTTCTAGTTGTAGTGATTGACAAATTCTCTGTTTCTCTGAAAAACTTTATGGACCTTTGTTTCCTTTGCTTGTTTTATGAATGGATTTGAAGACTTTGAAGACTTAAAGTTTTATTATCTTTGTTGTCTGTTGGATTTTAGTTGTATTTTGTGTGTAGAGGATTACTATTTGTGACTAGATATTAGGAAAATGATATTCATCAATAATCTTCATTTATTGTAACAATTTGCTGAAAAATCTGGTTCATTTATGGATGGAGTGGAGGCAGAGCCGTGTGCGGCAATTCTGTTTGGCGTTCACTTCAATGTAATTGTAATTTAAAGCTTCAATTTGTTGCTCTCTCTTTCTCTCTCTCTATCTGTACCCATTTGGCGTTGTCTGTTGCGTCCAAGTCACAGCAACCTCTTGATTTGCCTTTTGGTCTGAAGTTTATTGTGGACTCATTCTTGTGGTTTCAACATTTCATTTTATCAAATTTGTCACAATTTCATCCAAAATTATAATCAATTTCCTTAAAACAAATATGATCATATAATTGTGGTGATGATATGACAGAGGTGCCAGTGGATTATGCTCTTCTATGGTCTCTGGATTCGGCTGCATTCAAGGTTAGGAGTGTATTCTCACACTTCCACTGAATTTTGAATTGTTCATTTCTACCATTTCTGATTGATGCATCTATTTTATTTGTGTATTTATTTTCATGTTTTTAAGTCTGTTTGAATAAGTTTTTAAATTTTTTGGTCTTTCATTTCACTCAATTATTGGTGTATGTTATGAGATTTATGTGTTTTGAGATTTTTATATAATTCAATAGTTGACACTTCAGAGAGATTTTTTTAACCCATATGGATCTCCAGGGAACTGGGGGAGTGAATGCTGATAACCTGAATACATGCATAAATTATAGTTCCAGTGCTGGAAGGAAATCCTGTGAGATTAGATATGCAATGATTGAAGTTATTGATTATAAAATTAAACTAATGTTAACTTAATATTCAAAGTTGAGCAGTCAAATTTGCCTTGTGTTGACTTATTCTGAATGAACAGAAACTAGATATGTCCATTTATCATCCTCATCTATGAATATTGTTTCATTAGCCTTTGTAATTATGGTTTTTCTGATAGGATTTGTGAATAATGGAAATATGTCCAGGATAACCTCTTTCACAGGAAGGAAAATTAATGTTTAACAAACCTCTGCTAGTGATAGATCGACATTGTCCCTCATGGCCGATTAAGTAGGTGATGAATAACCTGCCTGAAAACCAACAAATTATGACACCTCAGAATTGCCACCAAAAAATTCTACTTTTCTAAGAAACTTGTTCTGAATTGTGCTTTGGTTTGTAATGTCTCCAACTGTTTCTTTCAGCTTTAGGCCCCGTTTGGGGACTTACTTTTTTAGCCAATTAGTCAAAAAGTTACTAAATTAGCCAAAAAGCCAATAACTCATACCAAAAAGTCAAAGATTCTCTTTTCTCTCTACTTTTTGCACATCTTTTCGTAATTAGCTAAAAAGTCATCCCAAACATACATGTTTTTTTTACCTACCTTTTTAGCCAAAAATCAAATAGTTACTAAATTAGCCTATTCCGAAACGAGGCCTTAGTGAATATGAAGTTTGATTAAATGATTGGCACTTACACAGGTTCCAAATGCATAAGAACCACGCACCGTGACAAAGGTACTAAGGTAAACCATCCAATCATGCTCCGTAGAACTACTTTTGTGGCTCTGATCTTTGGGACCATAGCCATCTTCTTCATCAGCTCGAGTCTTGTCTTCTAGTATAAGTGGCTCCCTTATCTCTTCTTGCAAGCTGTTCTCACCTTGCTCCAAAATTTGGAGAATTCAAATTTATGGTCAAGAATTTAATGGAGAATGCTAACAAAAGGTAGGCCTTTCAACTCAATTCCCTACTGTGACAGAAAGCAGATTGGGCAAATTTCTAGATCTGTAGGGTGGCTGGGGCAAACTTGTAGGTTCATTTATCTTTGCCCAGTTTTGTGCTTTCTAAGATAGGCCATTTGAGTTTTTTTACCACACCAGCCTGAACCTTGTGAAATTGTGAAACACTTCTAAGTATAATTTGGATAAATTCTAATTTTCTTCAGCACAGTTTTTAATAACATATTAACTTCTAAGTGGATAATATACTATTAGTTTAATAATTTTCGTTTCCTTTGCGTCCTCTCTTTATTTGGTTGTTGTCTTTACCCTTTTTGATGAGGCGTATCTATTGCATCAGACTGTTTGAACACCCACAACTGGCTCAATTGATATTGTGCAGCGGCTTTTAGGAAGTGCCTGCGTGGATTGAGTGCTCTTAATATTGATGCACTTGGCTTCCATGAATATATCTAGTTGACTTTTTAAATGAATCAGTATAGAGCTGATTTACTGACACTAGGCAAGTGAACTAGGATGGGCTTTGATTTTGTTGAAATCATTGCTTGGGAAACTATGCACAAGAATTCTACAGGGATTAGAAACTTTGATCATAAAAGCATGGATAACCATTATGTTTGTGTCACCTTGATGACTATTAATGAGCCCTAGGTTGATGATGTTAGTACCTCAGACATCTTGTTTGTCTATTTCTTGAATTTATGCCAGTACTTTTAATATACTTTGACGTTTACTATTGGACAGGATTTTGTTCTGTGATGAAAGCCAGGATGAACCACACTATGAAGTCCTTGCCAAGTTTGTTTTTCAATTCTTGTTGTAATGAAAGTTCTAAATTTATCACAGCATTTTTAGTTTTGCAATGTTGGGAGGTGTTAAGATGTCTTGATATCCATTATGATGGTTTCCTAATCATGGACGCAACCTGAATATTCCCATGGAAAGAACTATTGAGAAGCTTATAATTTATTGTTTGCACCTTATAGGAATATTTAGATGCTATGTAACATTTGAAAAATGCAGTACAATCTCTTAACGGCTTTTAACTGTTAAGACCTACATTTTTTACTCACTGTTAATTTTATTTCTTTCTCAGTTTTTTCTTTCCTTTTTTCGGGTGGGATGAGAGGTTTTAAGAGTTTTTTTATATTCATTATTTTGGTTTTCTAATCATAGAGGCAACCTGAATACTTCCATCCCATGGAAAAGAACTATTGAGAAGCTTATAATTTCTTGCTTGCATCTTATAGGAATATTGTAGATGCTATGCTGGTGGACTGTTTGTTGTGTACTTGGCTCTGCTGCAACAGGTGGCAGCATAAAAGATATTCAGTTGATTGCATGACCTTTCATCCTCTATATTTGATCCTCGCTGTCAACTTTTGTTTATGCATATCTCAGTGACTATTTTTTTGAAGTGATTCACTTGTTCTTTTGAACAGGTTCCTCTTACTAATGAATTCATTACTAATGGTGCTCCTCTTGCCAGGTTACATATCCAACATCTCGTCAACATGCCACTGGGTCCTTGGATGACTTGCCAAGAACAGTAGCTTGTACCATGCATCAAGGATCTGCTGTTAACAGCATGGATTTTCTTCCTTGTCATCACACATTGCTTCTTGGTATGATGGTCTTTGATCAATGATTTGAACATACCACCAATGATTTCAATGGTTGAGCTCTTGCTATATAAATATACGAGTTCTTCCTTTTCTTTCCCATATTTGATGTAGATTCTCTTTTAAACAGTTGGTTTTGCTACTGGTGAAATAACGCTCTGGCAAGTGGGGATGCGATATAAATTGGTTTCAAAGCCATTCAAGATATGGGACATGGCAAATTGTTATATGCTGCTTCAGGTTCATTTTCTTCCTTTTCTTTCCTTGTTGCTTGTTATCTTAGCATTCTATGATGTGATACATACCTATGATATGAGATATCTATGGACATGTACAAATTAATTGTGACCAGATTATTTCTTGTTTGATTTGGGGCATTTATAATACTAATCTTCAACTAGCCGCCGTCAAATATTAATTTTTTTTTTATTTTTTTTATTTTTAAATTCCCATTTGGAGTGTTAAGATCAAAGTGATAATTTGGAAAAGAAGTCTCCAATTGATGTTAACATGTAGGAACCCTAATCTTTGTGTGTTGGACATTTATAATACTAATCTTCTGTAAGTTGTTGAGTTTGCCCTAGCTTTGCAGGAAGCTGGGTGCTTGTTTGTTGTTCTAAAATGTGTGCTTGCACTTGTTGTTGTTGTTGTTACTGCTGTTGCTGTTGTTGTTGCTACTGCTACTGCTACTACTGCTGCTGCAACTGCAACATCTGCTCGTCGAATCCTTACCATTGGTATTGGGACAGGGACTTTCTGTAGTGGCCAAGTTAATTGATTCTTTAGCTTTCTCTAGTACTCCTAATAATGAATTAGACTTGACTGCTTGTGTTGTATATAATCTTTTTGCTTTCATTTATACAGATAATTTGCTATTTGATCTTGTAATTTGCTTTTAAAGTACTAAAATAGACATTTTAATGATATTGTGTGTTCATATATTGAGTTTATACATATAATAAACTTTGAATTTGCTCTCTCTCTCTCTCTCTATATATATATATTAAAAATAATTTTCTACGACATATAAAATTATGTCATAAAAAGTGTAATGATTTATGACATGTAAGAAAATGTCGTAAAAGATTATATACAGCATACAAAGTATGCCATAAATATATTAAAAATAACCTTCTACGGCTTACAAAATTATGCCGTGAAAAGTGATGATTTATGACATGCAAGAAAATGTTGTAAAATATTATATACGGCATACAAAATATGCTATAAATATATTAAAAATAACATTCTACGAGATGCAAAATTATGCCATGGAAAGTATGATAATTTATGGCATGACAAAAATGTCGTAAAAAATTATATACGACATACAAAGTATGTCATTGATGTTTTATTTATTACTTTTTACAACTTTATCTCCATGTCATAAAGGATGCTCAACTTTTCACGGCATGTCATATAACGGCATTTGTGTGCATGCCGTGAAAAAGTTTTTACGACATACATTGCAAGTCATAAAAATTTAATTTTGTTGTAGTGAGAATTTTCACTTTTGGCAACTAAATTTTTGGTCGTCGAAAGTTAATTTTTAGTCGCCAAAGGGTTTCAGCGACTAAATTATTTGGTTGCAGAAGTAGTCATCGAAGAATTGTCGGTAAAGCTACCAAATGTATTCAATTTCCGACTAAATTTTTAGTCACCAAAAGGTTGAACATAAAATTAAATTAGTACATTTTCGACGACCAAACTTTTAGTGGCCTAAAGTCTCACATTTTTAGCTACTAAAAGTTCAGTTGACAAAGAGTTTTTGTTTTGGTTACTAAATATTTGGTCATCTAAAGTTTTACATTTTTTGCTACTAAAATTTTAATTGACAAAAAGTTCATGTTTTGGCTACTAAATAATTGGACCACCACCACCATTAGCTCTTATGATCTTGGGTTCAAAATTTTTTAGTTGCAAACAATTTATTGGACTTAGTCTGTATAGGGTTTTGTCTTGATTTTAATTGAGCACTCCACTAGTGGATGATAGAATTATTTCTATAGATTAATCGTTCTATTGAACTAGATACCGAGTTATCAAAAAAAAAAAGCTGCTCTCATGGTTTGTTCTCTATACACAACACACTGACATACATACACAAATATATACTATTATATAAAATCCATACCTGAATTTGTGTAGATATGTCACTTTAAAAAATAAAAATAAAAATAAATAAATAAATACTCATAAACAGTAATACCATAGATTTAAAATAAAACTAAAAATAAAAAGAACTCTCAATTGCTTTGATTATAAATTTTATAATCCACATGATTTTTTGATGGGGTATTTTTTTTTAAGGTCCCTGATATTATGATTTTATATTATAAAAGACATCAAATATTTTCATGATGTCTAAGGTCCCTCAACATCAATTCAGAGAAAATTGGTCCAGAGAAAATTCAAGTCAGAGAAAATTGAAATTTCTCTGGACTTCCCTAAACTTCCTAAATTTCTCTGCCCTTCTTTTTTTTTTGAACATAAGAATTCCCCTACCTCAACTCACTTCCTTGCTTCTCAAAGGTGAGGAAGAAAGGCAACTTCTCTAACCGAGGAGCCTCCAAAAAACAGATGCAGAGAGGTGTTTGGTCCAGGCCATGAATACGAAGCAGTGATAATGGAACAAATTTATGTAGTTCATCTATCGTATCCGTTATCATGAACCCAGAGAAATTTGAATTTTCTCTGGGTTGAATCCAGAGAAATTTGAGAAATTCTTGCCTTCACTTAGCCTTCTCTTGCATGGAAGTGTTGGATGATCTTGAGAAATATAAGTTCGATTTGAAGTTGGGTTCTAAAGTGAGATTCGTCATGAGCCTTATACCTCGGTGCATCATCAGGAAAGAGAAGGTTCTAATCTTCTGCCACAACATTGCTCCGATTAATCTATTCTAGACATATTCGATGACATGGAAAAAGTGGGTGTTGAGCATGATTTTCAGCGAGGAGCACATGGAGGACCCATCCCAATGGCAAGCAGAGAAAATTGAAGACGATATCTTAAGAGAGATCGTATGTGGGGTCTAACTACATCAATCATCGTTGAAAATGAAGTCGGCGAATTGCAGACTGTAGTGCCTCCTCCACCTGATCTGCCGCCGAACAGGCCACCTCATCGCTTCCGTCCATGGCCGCAGCAGCTATGGGGGGATTCGGAATGAGCCAACATTCAAGCATGTGGAGGGCGTTGAGTCGGTCAGAATCGGAGTCTGAAGTGAGTTGGAGCTCGGCGAGGTGAAAGAGTTCTAGAGGCGGTGGTTGTGAGTAAGAATGGCAGTGGGTTTGGGGTGGTGATGGGTCAGATTCCAGCGATGGTAGTGGTGGTGGGTGAGAGTGGTGTGAGATCGGTGAGTTTGGGAGTGGGAATCTCCACTAGGTAAAGCTTGGGAAGTGTTGGAAGATGAGGACTCAGAGTCGGGTTGTTGGGGTGGCGGTGGGTCAAATGATGAAGATAGTATAAATGACTGAAATTTCTCTGATATATGTTTAGGGATCTTAGACATCAAAAAATAATTTTGTGGATCTCTTCCATTACGAAAAGTAGGAGAGGGACCCTAGACCAATTTTTCCTTTTTTAATTGTGCACGGTAGGTTTTATATAATCTAACACAAAAAACCACCACATGGTGGGCACAAAGTGATTTAACCAGAAACTTCTGCATTTGCATAAATTAGTGATTTAATGTATACAAATGCGTAACGCTCACTAGTTTCCAAGCAACAAAAAAGAGAGAAAATGGTGGGAAGCATACTCCATGAAGTCGATAAAAACTATTTCATTCAGTCAATGTTTCATAATGCAAATAGAAAATTAATCTAGCATACATGTAGCACATCAATGGCCTACTTTTTTCTTTTTGCTTTTTTTTTAATTTTTATTTTTTATAATTAGGTGTCCAGACCAGTTTATGTACATTTTGATTATACAAGCGTCCTATTTAAAATCAGAACAAACACCCTGTACAGACTAGTCCCAAAAACTTATTATAGCTAGTGAGTATTGAACCTAGGATTTAAAAGGAGCACATCCCCAAATCTCAAATTGTACTCATTAGGCCAATGCCTTGAAATTCATATCAATGGCCTACTTGTGCTGTTAAAAAATTATAGCCACCTTGTGAGGCAAACCTTTTTGACGAACAATTGAATCTCAATTATTATTATTTTATGATCAGATATAATGTATATTTATACAGATGCCATGTAACAAACTCCTAACAAACCATAACAAACCCTAACTACTAACTAACTTGAGTTAACAAACTCCAATCACTAACTAACTTGGGTTTGACAAACTAACTACTTAACTAACTATCTTGAGCTTGATGCAGAGTGAGCTGGTGTAGGACTTGATAAGTTAGCTGCTAATGCTGAGGGAGTCTTATCATCCCCCTGCAAGCTGATGGGAGGAGAAGTGACCAGCAGCTTGGACTGAAGATACTGAAACCGAGCAACAGACAGTGGTTTGGTGAAGACATCTACAATTTCCACAGCAGAGGGTATGTAGTGAAGAAGAAGCCTCTTGGAAACAATTTTGTCTCAAATGAAGTGACAATCAACTTCGATATGTTTGGACCTTGTGTGAAACACAGGATTTGAAGCTAAGGTAATGGTAGATAAGTTATCATACCAAAGAATAGGAGTGGTTACAAGAGGTAGAGAAAGATCATGAAGGAGCATTTGTAACCAACCAAGTTCAGCCGTAGCATGAGCAAGAGAACGATACTCAGCTTCTGTGCTTGATCTGGAGACTGTATGCTGCTTTTTAGCAGACCAAGAGATGATGTTAGAACCAAGGAAAACACAATATCCAGAGGTAGATTTGCGATCAACAGTGTCACCGGCCCAATTCGAATCAGAAAAGGCCTGGAGCTTAAACGAACTAGGACAAAAAGTCAAGCCATGAGAAAGTGAACTCTGAACAAACCGAAGAATGCGTTTGAGCAGAGCAAAGTGAGCATTAGTGGGTTCATGCATGTATTGACAAGCTTGATTGACAGCGAAGGACAAATTTGGACGAGTAAGAGTTAGATACTGTAAAGCACCTACTAAACTTCTGTATAACTCAGGCTGATGAAAGGGAAGATTAGCAGCAGGAGTATCAACAGGTTTCATGGACATAGGAGTAAGACATGGTTTACAAGAGGTCATCCCAGCTTTAATAAGAATGTTAGAAGCATATTTAGATTGAGACAAAAAATAAGAGTCACCCACAGCTTGAATAAAAATACCCAAGGAATAAGAAAGATCACCCAATTCCTTCATGGCAAAAGCAGAGTGCATCTGCTGAATGAGAGCGTGAAGATGAGAGGGACTATTGCCTGTAAGTAAAATATCGTCTACGTACACCAGAAGTACTGTTATGGTAGTGGAAGTCTTGTGAATAAAGAGAGAGTTATCACAATGACTATTTACAAACCCTTGAGATAACAAGAGCTTGGAGAAAGTAGAGTACCAAGCTCGAGGAGCCTGTTTGAGGCCATAAAGAGCTTTCTGAAGCTTGCACACATGATGGGGACAGGAAGAGCTAACAAAACCTGGTGGTTGAATCATATATACTTCCTCATCCAAAGTGCCATGGAGAAAAGCATTGCTGATGTCAAGTTGCTTTAATAGCCAATGATAATGTAAAGCCATACAAAGCAAAACCCTGATGATGGGATGTTTAGCCATAGGGCTAAATGTTTCAGTATAGTCAATGCCCTCTTGTTGTAAAAATCCCTTAGCAACCAACCGAGCTTTATATCGGGCAATAGAGCCATCATTGTTGCGTTTGATTCGAAAAACCCACTTACAACCAATAGCCTTCTTAGTAGAAGGAAGTGGGACAAAAGACCAAGTACCCTGAGCAAGTAAAGAATTATATTCTTCAAGCATAACTGAATGCCAAAGAGGTGAAGCAAGAGCTTGTTGATGAGAAGAAGGTTCAATATCTATAAAGGAAGGAGTAGTACAAGCTACAAGACCCTT